CAGAGCTTTTAGCCAAAACTTCCTTCCCCACCCCTTCCTCCAAAGTTAGGAGGAAAATTGCTTTTCTTCTTGAAGGGTGGGGGAATTAGTTAACGGTCTGTTTTCTTGCTTTTCTTTTCCTTTTTTTTTTTTTTACCTTTTGCACTATCATTCTTATGAGGAAAACCAATAAAAATCAGCTCTACTTTTTTAGGATGGCTCGAGGACGGTTGGTTGCCCCTAGTTAGGATGGGCTGCCCCAGCCTTGGAAGCATCCCTCGTGGCTCTCCTCAGCTGCTCTTTGCTCTCCGAGCCCCTTGACGAGCACCCAGTGCGGGGCACCGCTGGCTTTCGCTGGGTCACCATGTGCACAGCACAACGGGGATCCCATCCCGCTCTCCTTGGACGTCGCGGTGGTTTCAGCTTTTCCTCTGCGCACCTCATTGGCGCGGGTTCAGGCACTTTCGCTTTGCAGTGTTTTGAAATAGCCACAAAAAAACCACATTTTTTAGCTCCTAGCGCAGTTCCTAGTGAGGTATATGTCCAGGTATACAGGGTAGAGCCCTGCCGTCCTGAAGAGCTGCAAAACCATTGTAAGCCTATTTTAAACGGTGAAGGTAAATAATCATTTGAAAACCTAGCAAAGAAGTGGTGGATACACTCCTGCTTACAGGCAGGACTGGATCTCTCTATGAGCAGTATGGCTTAAATAGAGGTTGGGATGGGGTGCAGAAGCAGGAGGTGAGGTGGGGCGTCCTGGGCTGCACCGGAGGTTGGCCTCGCGCCACGTGGTGTTGCGTGGTGGCGGTGACAGCGCTTGTCTCGCCGCCAGGCGCTGCAGCCCGTTCCTCCCTCCTCTGGTGCTCAGCAGACTCCTTCCGCAAAAGGCAGCCAGATGGATGGAAAAAAATATACTTTCTGGTTTCCTTATGATGTACAGCTGCCTTCTTCCTCGTTTCACTATTTTCACATCAGAAGTCAAACTGTATATTTCAGTGTACACAGAGACACTAATAATGTGCAGATCTTGCTGATCAGGAAGGTTGAGCAATTAGGCTGGATTTTTAAATGGAGCTGTGGGGTCCTTTCTGCTTAATGCGTGTTTAATCAAGGCTGAGGCTCCAAAGAAGTCATGTGTGTTAGGAGAGTCATTAACCCATGAGCTGCCTGGTGAGACCTCCAAAGACTTCCCCAGCCTGACCTTTCTCTGGGCTCCAGACTTCACCCAAGCAAGGATAAACCAGAAGTCCTTCGTGTATACAAGTGAACTCTGCCTCTCCTCAGATTTTTCCCTGCAGCCTCAGTTGCTTTGCAGAGGAGGCACCCAGTGTCTCTCCCACGGGCCTGTGCTTGGTGCCAAAAAGCATCTGTGCATCTAAAGGTGAAATATAAGGAGGAAAAAGGTCTTTCAGGTTGTTTTCAAAAGCGAAGGACAAGCAGAAAACATGTTCGACACAAGTAATTGAGGTATTTTTTACTGTCTTTGATACTTGATGTAAACAAGGATGAGTCTGTTGCTGTAAACAGTTTCAACTAAAGTGCATTTAGATCACATCTATGTTCACTGAGTCAGACTGATCCCAGTTATGACTCCACTGAGATCGCTGATGAATTTGGTCCTTTGTTTTTTCTGCTTTAGCTGTCTTTGCCCAGTGACAGTCCTCTGCAAAATCCTCCCTTGCTCACTTCTCTCCAGAGATTCGATTAGAAAAGTGCAAGACCTTACATCTTGATACGCTTGATAGTTTCTAGATGTAAGTTTGTAAACAGGTCCCTGAGTCATAGGTGATGATAGTGAATACTCTGTGTTTGAGTAGAAATATCAAGTTTAAATAACATCTCAGAAGCTCTTCTTAAGCATCAGTTGATCAGCTTCATGCCATTCCTTGTGAGGGAGCTACTGTTTCACATGTGGAGACTGAGTTTAAAAAATTTTCCAACTAATCGATACCAGAACCAGGACTAGGTCCCTCCTCCTTTGGGTTCCCAGAGCCTCCGCTCAAACCAGGGCTCCATCGTAGCAGATAATTTGCAGGAAAAGATACTGCCTAGTCTGAAAAGCATTCCCTCCTGGGCTCTGATCCTTGGGCAAAACTGATTTTGCCCTAAAGTGGAAGGACAAACTTTGTTTCCAGGAGCAAGAAATGGTTTGAGAGGCCTGAAATTCAAGGCTGGCTCTTGCATGCTCTCATGCTCTCTCTGAGGCCGTAGTTTGGTTTGCATTTTTCCAGTGTTGGCTCTGGCTTAAACAGCCATTGTTTGCCCCTCAGCTGTTCATATTGGACCCTCTCCTGACCCACCGTTTTTTGTGATGCCAAGCGGTGAGCACCTTTAAGTATGAGATCCTTATTTTAAAAAAGAAAGAAAAAAAATGTTTTTTTCCCCCTCAGCTGGGTAACTGCATTTATTGTGCAGCCAGTACAAGCTCTTAGCTGGCCTTAAAAAGCCCTTCTGCCAAATATCTCTAGATGCCTTGTATATGCATCAAGTGGGGACTTTTGGCTGACTCTTTAGACATGACTCTGACAAATTTTAAGGAAAAGAAGGAAAAGAGAAAAAAATATGCAGCCAAAAAATGATTCCTCATATTCATACCTTGGTTTTACAGAATACAACGCCGTTGATCCAAACGTGACTGCCATGCAGCGCGTTCCTTCCAGCAGGATCTCACATTAAATAAGTAAACTTCGCACTCTCCTGTGACAAAGGTAAGTGTCTCCGGAAAGGTCTTCCCCATGCGGAAAAAGCTTCTGAGATCAAAAGTCTCAAAAGGTGGGAACAGAGAACAAAAAAAGTCTGACCTTGCTGGTTCTATTGTCACTAGGCAACACTGTTTTTTTCAGAGCTTAAGATATTTTGAAAGGCATGTGCCAAGTGTCCGCTTGATGAATTCCATCTGAGACAGGGAAGGTTATGGAAAGGTAACAGATCCCTAATGGGTATGGATACTCCCCTTCTATCTTCTGTAAGAACCGCATGATAATTATGGGTGGAGAATATGCTTTGTTCTAATGCTTGGTAGAAGGGAAGTGTGATACATAGATGCCAAAATACATACTGAAAATCTTTGTTTTCTGCTGCTGCTGGTCTAGCCCTACGCACAGTGGCTGCCAAAATAAACCTAATGTAATAGGAGAGAAATTAAATGTGCATTAACTGAACTAAGGTTTATGCATTTGTAAAGATCTGCTAGAATTCAGCTAGCAATTTGTATACATTAAAAACACCAAAATAGGTGAAGAGACCTGAGCAGGCAGGGGCCTTGTGTGAGAATTGTTTGTGTTTAGGATGCCCCCTCTCCACACCCATGTGCATGGAGAGGTCAGCTGCAACGGGAAAGGCCTTTGTAAGCGGGGAGCTCCTGTGCTCACATCCAAGGAAGCCGCTGGGTTATGCATGGGAAATTGCCAGGGACAGGGCAGCCAGGGAATCCCGGGCCGGTGGGTTCCTGAAGGTCCCTGAGCTGTCCTTCTGCTGTTTCCCCTCCAAAGGCAGTGTGTCAGCAGTAGCGTGAAGTCCCTTGACCCTGTGCCCAGAGCTTTGCAGTATGGGGTGATGTATCTTTCTTTAAGTATGGCTTTGCTGGCTCTTTGGACTTTACATATATCCCCTGTTCTTTGCTGCAAAGTTTTCCTCCCTGCTTTGTTTTCTTTTTTGCTGCATATTGTTAGAAATGTCCCTGCTGTTTTTTTCCTAGTTTAATATGGAGATCACTGGTGAGCCACCTTGATTCATAGCTTTCCATAGATGCTGAGTTTATGATTGAGGTAAATTGGGAACCCAGCTGAGATTTCTGAATTTTTATATTTATTTATTTATTTATTTTATTACTGAAAAGCAAATCACCCTCACTGTTTTTAGTGAGCCATTGATAAATCAAGTCAGAGTAAACCAACTTTAAATGAGCTGAACTAATGTGGTATCGGTGTGCCTATAAATGGAGCAGATACTGGTGGCCCAGACTGACATTCTGGTACAAAATATGGAGATGCTTTAACATTGCATTGCCAAAACAGAGGTAGAGTCTGTCTCTGGCAGTAGTTACCATTATTTAACTCATGTAGGTTTGAGGACTAAAATTCAGCTCCTTGCTAAAATAAAAAAAAAAAAAAAGAAAAAAAATCTTCCTTTAAGGAAAAAAAATACCATTACAACCATATTGAAATCTTGCCACAGAGGCAGAAATGTGAATACTGAAGTCCCTGAGAAAAAACACCGCAACGTCCCCTGTACAACTGCAGTGATGGAAGCTGTAGCATAGTAGGCAGGTTTCGGGCACTTTACCAGCGTGCCAACGTACAGACTATGTTGTAGCTGTTTAATGTATGGAAGATTTTTTGCTTCTCTGCTTGTCAGTTGGGTGCTTCCAAAAGCACAAAAATTCTCTCTCTTAGTAAGAAATCTGCTTCTTTGCATATTAAAAAGGTCTCTGAGAGAGTGTATTGGAAGTAACGTTAAAAAATATATTATTTGCAGATGAGCACTACCCAGATACAAACGCTATGTGCCCATAATTATTAGGTTGTCTTATGCTAAAAATAACATTGCACGTGTATATATAATTCATTGTTAATTTGCACTGACTTTTCATTTGTTTCCCTAAGCAAATGTAATTGTTTCGTGGCTGTGGTAAGGGAAGACTGACTTCTCCCATTTAAAGTAATTGGGCTTCTGTGAGAAGAGTACAAACGGGGGAAAATTGTTCTCTTTGTGAGAGCTGCATTTGCTTTTAAGGGTGTGGAGCAAATCAGTTTGAGTCCCTGCATTTGCAGTCGAAGTGAAGTTGAAATAAAAAAGCAGACTTTGTCCTCCCTGTTAATTGTTAATTTCTTTTGGTTTTGCTGTAATAAGAAGCGCCCATCATAAAAACGTAGCAGAAATCATTAGTTTACCCGGTCTTTTTTTCCCCATCCTTTCTGCCAGTATCCTACTATTCTGCTTAACATATGGGGAGGGGTTTCCACTTAATTAGCAATGCTCATAGGCTGAAGTGCCACTGTGGGTTGGGTCATGCTTCATTTTGCCTTTAGGGAGCCAGGCTGAATACTTGAGCCGAAGCGCTTAGCAAGACTCAGCTTTTCTAGTACAGATTGTTTGTGTGGTTGTTTTCCTCATAGTAGCAGAGTTCTGGATAGTGACTTCATAGGAAGATAGATTTCTTATTTTAAAAGCACCATGAAGCATCCACTTCCACGGGGGCAGAAGGTAAGTAAAGAAAGATTTGAAGTTATTTGCTGTTTGTTTTGTTTCGGTGCGTTTGTCAAGCGAACGTGGGGCAGCTGATTCAGTAAGGCTGTCAGATCACTGATTTTTGTCTGCAGGGAAGAGGACAGGGAAAGGGAGCAGCTGATTTTGTAATAGGTTCAGAAGGAGGGGATGTTATTTAAACATATGATATTTTATTTACTGGCTGGGTTCTTGTTGTGTTAAGGCTGGGAAGCGAACTTTGCTGATGGAAGATGTTTTAGCAGGCTGATAGCACATACTTAGAACGGCATGTGAATTTTTCACACTTTGAAATCTGTAAGTTTGTCTTCAGTAATGCTGATCGGCCTTGCCTCATGCTGAAATTAAAAAGGGGTCTGTGAGGGTTCTGGGTCTGGAAATTTGGACATGGTAGTTCTGCATTTTGCTGCGAACTTCAGCATTTCTTGTTCACTGCATTGCATGCAGCTAGTATGCCTACAAAGATGATGAAACTGGCATCTCTGCCCTGTGTCTTTTAGCAGCTGCTGCTTCAGAACAGTGGAAAAACCTGAGAATTTCCCAGCACACGCTCCCACAACCAGTTCTGCTGTGCTGCAAGCTTGATTTCTTGGAGTGAAAGCCTCTTCTGCCTGTTCTTATTTTTCTTTATTTGCTATGATGCTCTTTCTCAGTATGGGAGCCTGGTCTCTGAAAATCTTGCTTTCAGAAGCGCTAGGTATACCTAGGTCCAAAGTGGGCCATCATTCAAGCTAGTGCAGTTCTGTTGACTTTGGGAGTGTTTCATCTGTTTGTTTGACTGGGATTGAAATGGACTCTCTATGCAGTAAGGACAGTATGTATTATACATTTGGGACTACATGGTCTCCAAATTCTGCCCTTTAGTAAGTCTGTGCAATGCCTCTGAAGTAATTAGGATTATATGGATGTTTTGGGGAGACCACTTTTCCTTGTCTTATGATAGTCTAATTGGGTGGGTGAAGCTCTGTTCATTTGATTGGTAGCTTTGAAGAATAAAAATAACAATGGGATGTAACAGCAAAGCTAGTGTTTCCAGACCCCTGGAAATAATGAACTCTGTTTTCATATGGCTTTATGTTTCTTAGCTGTTTGCTTTTGCCCTTTGGGGGTGGGTTTGAACTCTGTTTTAAGCTTCTTTAAATGCTCAAGAATTCGTGTTTTCCTTTCCATGCTGTCTCTGGTACTCGATGGTGTGAGCTCATGCTGTACCTTCTCAGGTAATCAGGGAACTTAATTTCTCCCCACTGACTCTCTCTTTTCATGATGCTTACAGGAATGTAAGGCTTGTGAGTATGATCTTGTGGCAAATTTGGCTAGGATTTGGCCAAAAGTTAAGAAGCTCCCTGTTGAAGCACTCAGACAGAACTGAGGATCTTGGGCACGAGGTTACCGCTCCCCCACTTCAGTTTGTTGTCAGTCTTTAGCGTATTTATTCTGAATTTACGGAAAGCCCCTTCCGCTAAGGGTAAGGGTTACCTGTGAGATGCTCAGAGCTGCCGAAGGATAGGACAGGATCCCTACCCCTGTTCAGAGCGTGCCCTCGCTGCAGCGTTGTCCCAGGGGACAGGCGCCTGAGCACCTGTGTGGGGAAGGCCACAGGGGAGTGTTCACGCAGCCAGCCCTGCCTGTGCAGTTATTCTGACCCTTTCCACACTTGCCCGCCTGATTAAAAGGGACACTTCCTGTAGTCCTCTTGTCCTAAGACACCACAAAGCCTTTAAAATTTATTGCTTGTGGTGAGGAAGCATGCCTGTCCTTCAGTGGTAGTGTGGGGAGCGAACCATGGGAGAACCACTGGCACTCTGTAATTTGTCTGAACTGTCACAACATTTTCATCATCGCTCATCTGTGCCCAAGGCTTGTGCAGGAGGTAGGGCTGCACCTGAGCTCTGCCCTCCCTCCAGCTAGGAAAGCAAGTCCCGAGCTGAAGCAGCTCCAAACCTGGGCCAAAGACTCCTGGCTGCATGGCTGAATGGGTCAAAACTTATGAAAACTGATCTAGGAAAAAAACTCTCTGGGGAGGAAAAAATCTGAAAAGACTTGATGCAAAATATATGGAGATTCCCACGGACTTTAGCTCGGCCTTTGAAAATCTGGACAGAATCCATCAATAGCTAGGTATTAATATTAATTGAAGTTTATCAGGAGAGGCACACCTGTTTAAATTTTTGCCAGGAATTAGTTTTTCTACTTGCAGAAGATCATAGGGTCTTGCTTAAATACCTGTTTGAGCATTTGATTTTTGTCCAGATACTTAAGTTCCTCGTTTTCAAGATCCTTAGAAATTGGTGTTGTGGCACTGCTGTTCTTAGAGAAGACTCAACAGATCAACTTCTTTTGAGGCTGTGGGGCTCTTTCTGTTTCCTACCACAAACATCACTCTTGCTGTGACAAGGAAAGCAGGAAGCTTTGCAGAGCAAAGGAAGAGGTTCCTAGGATCAGAGCAGTGAATTCTTTTAACTGCTTACTTACATAAATATAAAATTGTAAGCAGTAGGTGATCTTGTGAAATTATTGCTTCCTGAAGCAGCCTGAAAATCACATTACTCAACTAGAAGTTTTCACGGGTTCTCTTAATAGCAGCAGAGTGAAAAGGCTTGTGTCAACTTGACTCTGTTAACCAATATAATTTATGAAGTGCTCTTTAGACGTCAGACGTGTCTACATCAAAGAAAAGATCTTGTATTTTACAGTGTGTCTGTTCTCCTCAGGTGGTGGTTTGAAAAATGTCTTCCCTGATGAACCAAGCAAATATGTGCAGTTGTTACCCTTTTATCAGTTATGAACTGAACTGACTTTTTTTTTAAGAATTATTCCTTCTCTAGCAACTGATTTAAAGCAAGTTATCAAATCTTCAGGAAAAGAAAGGTCATGGCAATACGCTGCCGGTATTGCCACAATTCTTGTTCCTGTGAAATAAAATCATAAAATAGATATCAGTCATTAATGTTCGTACAGGTTGCTAAATGTATCTTCTTTGGTGTGTCCATTGGGTAGGCATATAGAAGAAACTCATTTTCAGAAATAATGAAAGCCCCAGAGTCTAGCAGCAACTTCATATGCTCCGTTAATAAAAGTTCTCCTGCATGTCTTTGTTGCAAACAGGTGGGGTTTTTGCTTCAAAATAGCTGTTCCAATGTGACATTTAGTCTTTTAAAACACAAACAGTTTGTGAGTGGGAATGAGCGTTGTGTAGTGGATCTAAATCTGTATATAAGGCAACTAAGCAAGAAATATGTTTCCTTTGGGGTGTTTATTTGCTGGGCTCTCTAGTGTCAGTAAGTGACTGACTGGTCTTGGCTATGCTTCTGTGGTGGGAGGAGGGGAAGAGTGACTATTTCACACCTTTTCCTCCTTTTGTTTTGCTGGAAACTATTTTTAACTTGCTCTCACATGTCCTGGAGCGTGGAAACTCTCCTGGAGGAAACGAAAATGATTTATTAGATGAAAATCGCCGTTCAGTGCTTCTTTATTCCTTCCTCCCTGCTACAAAACGTTGGCCAGGCTTTCTTTTTACCACAGAGGAGGCCATTTTGGCCCCGATCCGGTGCCGTGTGGCTCTGGCGGACACGGGGTCCTTGAGAGCGGGCGCGTTGGCCCCGGCGTGGCTCGCGCCCCGCTGCGAGACCTTCCCACCTCCCCAGCCGGCCGAGAGAAATAACTGTCGAGCTGCGTGAGTCACCGTTGCCTTCTCCTTTATTTATTTACTTTTATTTTTTTATAGAGACTTAACCTGCTGCTCGCCTTCAGGGTTTCCTAGGCTTCTGCTGGGTGTGCCTGCTGGCCCCTCGTGTCAGGGGTGGGGGAGCAAAGCGGCGCGTCCA